TAACCCAGCATAGAACTGGGAAAATGAACAGCAGACCCCAATCTTATCTAAAGGAATATTGACAACTGCTGCTAGATGAGGAACAGATGACCTTCCTAAAACAAATACCTCTAGATAGGCTGACTCGAGTCACCAAAAGGGCAAGTAGTGGGGAATGGCTGGGGGTGCCAACAACACAGGGGACAGTAGCAGGGATATTAGAGTATAAGGGATCTAATGGGGGGAGGGAGGCTATGGGAAGGTGCCATCTGGGAAGTGGGTGTATAGTTGAATAAGATGGTTTGGGATGTTCTGTGTGATATATACACACACACACACACACACACACACACACACAGAGACACACAAATCAACAAATTAAAAGAACTATATTTGAGGAGGAAGCCTAAAAATTTACATCATGTTAATTAGTAGAGGTGATAAACATTACCAGTGAAATCTATCCGATGACTTTATAGACATACATAGGTGCCAAGGATCTGAGTGCAACTGATTATGACTAGTAATGGTAAGATGCATACATATTAGAGATACATGCGCCAGCATCTCAGTGTTAGTAGCAAAAACAATGGGTCTTTCTGTAAGAAACAGTATATTTTAAAATGAAATGGAGATCTTTTTTAAACGTTAAAAACTCATTCAATTTTATGTCTTACAGGGTTTATACTGAGTTCAGTATTGTAAAACTGTATTAATTCAACAGTGATCCTAAAAATTTTATAGTCACTTTTGAAAGAGATGTATCTTTGCTCTGGAAACTGTTATTGAGTATGTTAAAGCTGTAATGAAATGCTGTTTCAAAAAAAATAAAAAAAAGAAAATAATGAATAAAATATTTTTTAAAAAAGTGAAAAAAAGAGTACAATAGAGTAACACCTGCTTTTTTAAAGCTCTGATGATACCAAGTAAAAGAGCAATAGATTGAGAGCCAATCTTATGTTCTAGAACTATCTTTGCTATTGTTTAAATGAAACATCTTTACCACATTCTCTTAAAATAAATATTTGCACATGTACTTTTATATCTATAGTCATATCAATAATCTATATTTATTGATATCTATGTTTAATTTCTTTTGGAATTTGACCAACTCTATCTCCTCATAAAATTGTGGAGGAAATCATGGAACCATAGCTAGTATTTGCCAAACATTAAAATTTTGTAAATATATGTTTAAGTTTGTCTTCATGTCTTTGATACAGGGGCTCACTTTGTAGCCCTAGCTGACCTCTAACTCATGACCCTCCTGCCTTACAGGTCTATTTCAACTATCATAATTTTACAGTTAATTTTGGCAATGACAAAACATCTCTAGTGAGACCATCATGGACACATTTTAAAAAAAAGCTCAGGCTCCCAGAAAGGAGTCTAACTTTCCAGGGCAAAAGACCATAAATAGGGAAAACAAAGTGTCAGTAACAGGCAGCCCAAGGAGGGTACATGACTTGGAGCGATTAGTCATTCTTTTGCCAGAGAGGCCAGTGACAGGGATGATGGGTAAATATTTCCCCAATTAACTTAGAATGGGAAAAATGGAGAATTCTGGAAATTTAGACAATGCAGCTTGGCTTTATCTCTGACAAAATTTTAGGAGGGATTATTAATCAGATGGTTTATGAGCCTTCAGAAATGAAAGTAGCTGTCTAGGAGCCAATTTACAGGGAATGTGATGGTGTGATAAACCAACTTCATTTCTTTTGGATAGGTTTGTAAGTGATTTATGATATGAACATGGAGGGAGACCTTTGTAAACTAGACTAAGAATCTTTCCAACACAAACAGTGGGAAAAAATGAGAGAAAAGGCAAAAAGGGAAAATACATTTTTAATGCTCAGCTGCAGAAATTGTTTGAAGTCAGGTGTTTTCAAAATCTATTTTGTTTCATTTTGTTCTATTGTATTTTTGTATTTTTCAAATATTAAATTGCATTCAATTATCCCTATTTTGTTTTTTCTTTAAATATTTTTGTTTATTCTTTGAAAACCTCATTATATGTGTACAATGTATTTTGGTCCTATGCACCCCCAGCTCCCTCCTTCCAGCTCCCTCCAGGACTTTCCAACAAGTCTCCCTCCCAACTTTACATCCTATCTTCTTTTTTGAATTAATAAGCCACCAAATCTAATTGTTCTGCCCATATGCACATGGGTATGGGGGCATCCACTGGGCATGAGCAACGCACATCAGTAATCATCAATGGCCAATAGCTCTTCAGCTAGGGGTGGGGCCTCAGGAGCCCTTCCTCCAACCATGCCGGAATTTTGACTGGCTAGATCTTGTGCAGGTAACCACAGTTGCTGTGAATTCCTGTGTACAATGGCTATGTCACATCCAGATGACAGCATTTCACAGCTCTCTTCCCCATCCTCTGGCTCTTAAGTCTGTCTTTCTCCTCTTTTGCAAGGTTTCCTGAGCCTTAGGTTAGGAGAAGTTGGTATAGATGACCCGTCTATGGCTGAGCTCAGAGTCATGCTTTCTCAGTACTTTAACTAGTTATGAATCTTGGCATTAAACACTACCCACTGAAAAGAGAAGCTTTTCTGACAAAAGTTGATGGTAGCACAAATCTATGGTATAAATATAAATATATAGAAGGTAATTTGACAACATTTAACAAGACAAAAACAGTAGGTCCCTTCCTCAGGCCCATGACCTTCCCAGACTTAAGCTTTACATCAGGCTTAATTTCTGCTGTTTTAGAAGTGATGTCGCTTTACTTTTCCTTTCTGAATCTTTCAGTATGGATGGCATGCTAGAAACAAATGCTTTATTATTTATTTATGTAACCTGTGGCCCCATCTGCCCCGTTGATGATGGTTTCACTAAATAGATCATAGTATCTGTTTTAAGATGTATTTGAACAGAGGGTCCAAATTAGTGATGTGAAATATTACAGAGACGAATGTGAATTTTCACATTTCAGCCAGTCACAGACTTATACAACTGTCACCCAAACAAGAACAAGCAAGGACACTTACTCTATACAAGGACACTTACTGTATACAAGGTGTTGTTCTAATCATTTCATATTTCTCATTTTGCTCAATTCTCCACCACCTCTACAAAACAAGTATGCCAGGCACTGGATTATTAGTAACTATTTTTTTTAAATGTTTTATTTATTATTTTTATTTTATGTGTATGAGTGTATTGCCTGCATGTAGGTAAGTGCACCTGTGTTGTGCAATGCCTGCGGAAGACAGAAGAGGCCGTTGGATCCCCTGGAACTGGAGTTATGGACAGTTGTTAGCTGCCATGTAGGTGCTGGGATTCGAACCCAGGTCTTCTGCAAGAACAATCAGTGTTTTTAACCATTGAGCTATCTCTCTGGCCCCTAGTAATTATTTTATAAGTGGAAAAACAAAGCTTAGAGGGTGCTATCTTCCATGTCATGTAGATGGTATGGAGCTGTGCTGGCTGGCATTCACGTGTAACTGATCTGCTTTCATGCTTAACCTTTACATGCTAATGCTTCTTAGAGAAACAGTTGAACACATAAAGTACAATGAAATTTCTAGCACTTCAGTGATGAGACTTTGTGTTCCTTGCCATCTTCAAATAAACAGCAGAAATGCAAAATGAGCAGTGTCAGGTGCCTTGGGCACAGCTATTATAGGAGAACAGAGCCTCCATGGTCAGCCTATACTCTGAGTTTAGCTCCGGATGGTGTGATGACACTCAGTAGGTCTAGAAGACTGTGTGTTTTAATGTGTAGTCATGCATTAGCTATACACAGTGCTAGAGTATTTTTGCACCAAGGGAGATTAGGTGGTGAAATGTGATAGTTATTATGTTCATTATGTCTAGGAAATTGTCTGAGAACCCATTTTGACATTGATTTGGAGAAAGATGCTATAGCTTGACATGATTTATAGTTTCTCAGTCAATGACCCTTTGTCCTTTCCTGTGGGATCTGCCATCTTCAGGCTGATGTTCAGTCAGCACCTGTAAACTTGAGAGCTCAGTTAAGGAAGGGAGACACCTGGGTTCTGATCTTGATGCTGAAGAAATTCGTGTGTTGACTTCATGCAAAGCCCCCCGATCTCTTTGGGTTGCCTTCTTCACACTCCTACCTAAGTTACAGGCTGAAATGAGGTCTTGCATATAAAATTGTAGGGAAGTATAAACCATCATGCATTATTATTACTAATCATCTTTGAGTTAGCTGCCACAATGCCTAGAGCCAGGATTATTCTTGAATAAATATCACACCTGTTGGGGCGCTGCTCTTTAATATCCATGCTCTCACCTCCTCTAGACTGCATATTTTTAGACTTTCTGTAATTCTACACCACTGTTTTTCATTTTAAATCCAGTCCGACTTCTCCCCTTAAAGCAAAAGGACATTTAAAGTGAGTGGCTTGTGGCATAACTGGCACATATATCGAATCTCCTTAGTCTGGGCTGTTAAGTAAGTTTAATTAATTTACTAAGTTAATGTGCTACTGCTCGCAACAGAGCCTCATTGCCATCAGCTGGGGAGAGGGAATTGAAAGCCTAAATGAGCTCATTTTTTCACAGTTGGAATTAGGGACCAGTTAGCCAGTTGTGTGGGTTTTCCAATTTCTCCATCTGCCCTGGAGGGGATTCAGACAATTCACTCCCCCAACACTAAGTGTAAGATCAGGAAGAGGGAAGGGGAAGGGAGGAAAACAAACAAAAAACTCAGTTCAGCTTTTCTTCCATTTTTAGAACAGGAAGCATTATCCATACGTTGGCTGTTAAGTTGGGACTGTTCCTGCTCCTCATAGATATGAATACGAAGAAAAGCCTCAGTGGAAGATATTTACTATGTGCATTTTCATTGCTGGTTGAGCAGATAAGGGAAAAACAAATAAACAATAAAAGAATGGAAACAAAATTACAGAAATTTGCAAAATTTGACAAATGGTGGCCTGTAGTTGCCACAAGCTAATGGCTTTCAATGATTAATAAGAGTAAAAATAATTGCATTTCATTAAGATTGATGACACCCCATTTAACCTCCTCTCTTGTTTCAGCCCTAAAGTGGAAAGAGATGAAGTTCTCATCTGTAATAGCTCCTGTAGCATTACCATGGAAACTGAGGCAGAGATGGAGTGTGAGACGCCTAATCAGCCAATTACCGCCAAGATTACTGAGATACAGAAAAGCTGGGGCCAGAACACTCAGGTATAATCAAATCTTTTTTACAGACTGATTCAAACAGCTCAAATTAAATTTGTAATATTATGTACATTAAAAAAACAATTTAGTCCAAATGGCAGCGATATATAATATTAAATGCTCTCAAACTTTGAGGAGCTGATCTAATGCACAGCATCTGAATTCATAGTTAACTATGGTTAATCATATATTTTCTCAAGAATGAATGAGTGCTGCCTGGCTTCTTTGAGAGCAAATTCTGAACCGATAATCTCTTCAGTGTTTTGTCCTGATTTCTCCATGCATGTTTGAGAAGGGCTCTCTGCGGTTTATTTCTTCATAAAATAAATAGCCTGCAATTTTACTGGGCCCTTCTGGAAGGCTTCCAAATCACTCAGCCATCCTCAGCTTGTGGGACAACAAAGTTGCTGGTCCATCCGGTTCATTTCTGTTCCATGGGGAGAGGTGTGCAAACATCAGGCTCAGAGGAGATTATGGGGAAATTAGAACTGAAAGGGACCAGAGGCCATTTGGTTCAGCCTCTCTTCCTCAATGCAACGTTTTTTGAAACCATCGAAACGACTTCCTCTACGTGGCCCTTCTAAGACTGTGTTCTTAAATCCCCAGTGAGAGATTCCACAGCCTCCCTCGGGAATTTGCGAGAAGTGAAATCAGAGGCTAAGAGCTCTTTGGAAATGTATCAGATAATCTTTTATAACTCCCCAGGCTTCTCGCTGTACACAGACCAAAAATAATATTTATTGAGCACCTACTCCCTTAGGTGCCTTTCTTTTTATGAAAGCGATTCTTAGGTTTTCTTGTCTTTGGCTCTGTTATTTTGTACAAACATTTATTAAGTGCCTATTATCTGTCACACAGTATTCCACATCCTCTTGCGAATGCTGTTTGAGTCAAATCCATCCCAATCCAAATCTATACTTCCTGGTCTTCTGTTTTTCCTAACCTGTTCTCTGACTACTGCCCCATGCCCAGGGGCCTCCTATGTTCATTCCTTCCTCCCCCCAGCCTGCTCATCCTCCGGATCCTTACCCGAAGTGTGTGCCTGGTGTCCTCATTTTCTGCTTCACCTTTGACGTCACTGCTCATGCTGATTCCTCTCTTCCGGAACCACTGTCCTGTAACTGCAGGCTCCACTCCACTCTCTGCCACTTACTTAGCAGTAAGGGGAAACTGCGTGGAACGCTGAACCATCTTCACCTTTGCTCAGTCTCATGATTATTCTTTTCTTTGACCCTCACATACTGTACATGTGCTTGAGCTTCAGCTGTTTCACCCCCTCTACCCTCTCTCATGCTCATCCCCTTCCTGCTAAAAGCGTTCCTCTTCCCAACAAACCCCCTCCTACTTTCTTGTCGTTTTTGGGGGAAGGGAACATGTGATCCACTGAGTTTATTCCGGGTTTCTTGCAAGAGCGTGGATGGGAGGTTATTTTCTGAAACATGAACGACTTATCAGTGACTCCAGCACTGGGGGAAATTTGGACACCCTCTCCCCCAGCAACCATTAACTGTCAGGATTCCTTTGGAGAGGGATTGGGCCTCAGGAGACTTTCCTCCACCCATCCTAAAATGCTGAGGGGCCCAGTCTTGTACAGGTCTTGAGCAGATAACCAGAGATGCAATGAATTGATGTGTGTAACAGCCATGTGACATCTTTTTCTGGTACCACACCATCCTCTGGCTCTTACATTCTTTCTCCCTCCTCTTCCTCAATACTCCCTGAACCTTGGAAGCGGTGATACACAGATTCTGTTCAGAACCAAACACTACACCAACATGTATTCTCAGCACCAATTCTAAGTCTTTGCATTAACTGCTTTCACCTCACTTTCTGTCTGGATAACTAACAGTCTGGTGTTCTTGGAATATTAATATAAGCAAATTCTGGGAAGAGGTTTGGAGAAGAAAGGTATCACATTGGTTAAATATCTGAACTTTGGAACTATACTAACCAGGTTTGAAAGCATCTTTTACTACCTGGAGGATTTCAAGGAAATTGTTGAACATACCTGTGTCTCACTTTTCTCATCTGCAAAGTGGGGATAGTAATAGTAACCATCTGATCAGGTTACGCTCTGAACAACATGTTAGCCACTGAAAGCTGCATTACACACCCAGAAAACATCTAATGTTATCCAGTGGCAACCATGTTGGAAAATGATATCCTATTATTTCTTTTTATTATTATTTTTATTTTATTTTATGTGTATGAGTGTATTGTCTGCATGTGTATAAGAGCACTCGAGTTGTGCAGTGCTCACAGAGGTCAGAAGAGGGTGTCAGATCCTCTGGAACTGGAATTATAGACAGTTGTTAGCCAACATTTGGATGCTGAGAATTGGACCCGGGTCCTCTGAAAGAGCAGCCAGTGCTCTTAACTACTGAGCCATTCTCCAGTGCAATAGCCAATTATTTCTTACAGTGCTTGCTGGTTTGAACAGGTAATTTTACTTCTTATGTTTCATTAATGTTTCTAATGTCTCAAAAATCTAATTTTGAGATTTGGAGGATCCTTAGATGCTTCACTTAAGCAACACATATTTTTGTGATTGTTGTTTAAGTTCCTCTGCTGTTTTTTTTTGTTGTTTGTTTGTCTTTTTGTTTTTTTTTTAGCTAGGGCCTCCCTGTAGACCCAGCTGGTGGTCTGGAACTCACCATGTAGACCAGATTGACCTTGGTTTTACAGAGATCTATCTGCCTCTGCTGGGATTAAAGGCATATGCCTTTTCCCCTGGCTTTCTGTGCTCTTGGGAAGAGAAGGAAATATTAATGAAAGAAAGATGCTCTCATCCATAGGGAGTAATTGGAAAGTGAAGTCACATAAGGCTCATGAACAGACACCTAGAGTTGATTCATCACAGTCCAATGGAACTTTGAATACCATCTAGACCAGCCATCTCATTTCAGAGATGAATCAACTGATTCATAATCACAGATAACTTAATGAAGGTCACATAGCTTGGTATTTGGCATCACAGCCATGAGGCCATAAGGCACCATGAAGCAAGTAAGCCCTTTGCTCTTCAGAAACTGAGTGTCGGGGGAGGATTGCCCAATAAAACCTAGTAGGCTAGTGTAGTATGTAGGAAACTCCATTCCTGAGGGGTGATAGAAATAGATACTGCAGTTGTGGCTACCACATATGATTACTGTTGATGATTACTGTTGATGATAATGTCATAGTTTTAAACAATCTATTGGGAGCAGGGCTCTGTTGAGTAGCCAAGGGAACATGGGGAACAAAGGCAGGTATTACAGAAGAATCATCAGAATTTGAGATCTGTGTTGGCCCCAGCAGTTTCTTAAAGAATCACTTAATAAGGGTCTTGGACACCATTTTTACCACAGTAGGTTGGGAGTTGGGGGATATGGGTAAGTGGGCTAAATGGGTACACAGGTGTTAAGAACACAGGAAAATAAAGTTCTAGGTACTGGAAAATTGTTAATTCAGATTTCACTTTCTGATGGAATGACTTGGTTTGCTTCAGAAAGTGGATATAATGAGGTTCATAAGTAACTGAGTGAACATTCATCACCCTGACCAGGATGTTTCTGAGAGTGCAAGAGCCACAGTGGCTACCCTACACATGTCTGAATGTGTGATTTTGGTCTTGGAATTTTTGTTAAGATGCAAAGTTGCCTTGTCTGTGTCCAAACTTGGAGAAGACCAGCACTGGCAGGTACTTAATGAAGACCAGTAGAATAGATAGTTAACAACAGAAGAGACAGTAAATCAAATGGATTTGTGAAAATTGGCTTTATATACATATATGTATATATATTACATATATATGTTTATATGTTTGTGTATATACCCATTTGCCAAGGATATTTGGAAGGATTCAATATATGAGTCATAATAGGAAGTTCTATGAAGATCTGGAGTATGCAGTATTATCACAACTTAGTTACTTTTTTAAAACTTATTTATTTTTATTTTATGTGCATGAATGTATTGCCTGCATGTATGTAAGTGCATTGTGTCATTCAGTGCCCACCGAGGTCAGAAGAAGGTGTCAGATCCCCTGGAACTGGAGTAATGGACCATTGTTAGCCACCATGTGGGTGCTGGGAATCAAACCCAGGTCCTCCACAAGAGCAGCCAGTACTCTTAACCCCTAAGCAACCTCTCCAGCCCCCTTCCCTTACTTCTTTCACCACCCCAACCTCCTGTCTCCTGTGGTAGAAACAACCATGTTAATTGCACGCATGTGCCTAGGCATCTCTATTCTGAGTGTGCATGCAAATCAATGTCCATGGAGGTCAGAAGATGGTGTGGGATTCCCTGGAACTGGTTATTAGCTGCCATGTACGAACTGGGATTCAATCCTGGGTCCTCTGCAAGAGCAGACAACACTCCAGCCCCACAACAGAGTTCTTTTGGGAACGTTTTAATTTCATAGTTTCTCATGGGACTGGCACCTCTCCTGATGCCCTTATACTCAGATTTGTTGTTTGTGTCATCATATGCACCAAGTGTTTGGATCTGTGTTTGTCAAGATGAGATCGTAAGAGGGATTGTTTGGGGACAACAGATTTGGTACACCGTGTATGCTAGGGCTGCTGTTACACTTGAAAGCCTGAGGCAACTGTAGAACTGTGGGACAAGCTCAGGGAAGGGAAGGCTGTGGGAAGCAGTTTTCTTCTCCTTTTTGCCTCCAGGGAGTTTCTCTAAGTTTACCCCACCCATTCAGATGTTTCCCAAGAAATTTTAGGGGTGGTAACTCGAAAAGGTTTCTCTTAGAGGAAGTTAGATCCAATATTCCATATCAGTAGAAAAATAAATCCGAAGAAATGATTTTAAAATTCTACGAGAAATGAGTTTGAATCTAGAAACCTGCATCTACTATTGTCTAGAGTGAGAATAAAATAAAGACACATAAACTATACAAAATTCTGAAAGTTTGCTCACCTTGTACATTCTCTGAAAGATGATGAGCTCTGATAAACTGTAAAATGAATCCATGAAAATGTGATATGACATACAAAGAACTGATGGGCACAGAG